ACGTTAAAATTTAAAAATTACTATTATCTCTTTTCATTTATTTACTTCAAGTTATCCATGTAATATTATCGAAACTAATTCACTTAATTTCAGGAATAACTTGGGGGCAATTGTTAGGGCTCGGATCCTGAAACTACTATAGGATCCTCAAATCTAAGGATCCTTAAAAGCTCGGGATCCTCAAACCTCAGGATCCCGAATATACTCCAGGATCCTGACTAATATTTTATTATTATAACGAACATATATTCTTTTGTCTTTCTCACATGTGCAGAAATAACTGGTCAAAGTCATATACTCAACGGATAGTCATCACCATTATGCAGAAGACTCGGAGGACCAAGTCAAGCAAATGGCTATAAGTAATCTTGGAGGATCCCAGAATTCTCAGAGTTCTAGTTGTTAGGGTTTGACTATATAAAACACTTGTAATCATCACACTACACACGAGACTTAGCAGAATACTATCACTTGTACTCATACTCATTCCATTTTCTCTGTAATTTTCGTTTTAATCAATAAAAAACATCAATGCATGTGATTATTATCACCTCCCAAGGTTTGGTGACGGAGATTCTAACAAGGATCAAGGGCTTTCCTTGTAAACGAATTGTGTTGTTTTGATTCATTTTACTTATTTGCTTTACATTGAACATCACAGCCTCTCATACACTTTGGTCCATTTCAGTTCAATTATTTTTTTGACCAAAACAATGTCAAGCCTATTTAACACTAATCCATCCTTTATAAGTCTTATTCCTAATCTAAGGCAAGACCTAAATCTAAAGGCAATTGATTTTTACAACAATTCCTAATCCAAATGTTACTATCTTATCTTTACAAATAACACATATCACAGATAATACAAGCAACATTTATTATATGGATATTTTTAAGTTAAGATTATGTTCTAGATAATAACTACACACTCACTTGACAAAGTGTCTGGTGTTGATGAATCGGGCAGAGCTTCGCCTTACACCTTTCTCAAAAGACCTAGATGTACATAACGCTACATATTAGTCTAGTTTTATACTACGTGGGACTATTATCTTAAGAGTTTAGATTCATCAAACAATTCCAAAGTCTACTTCAAGATCAAACAAGTAAAGATCAGCCAGGCAGGACAGTCGGGAGGCAGGATCATTTCGACATATAGTCTTTCTGAAATCCAACAACCAAGTCGACGTGACCATTCTAGACACCTCTCCCGTAGTAGATCAATTAACATAACAACTTGGAATCGTTGATAAATCTTAATTATAAGATCTCATCTTTCTCTGTTTTTCTCTCATAATCACTCAGATAAAACACTAATCCATTTATTGTTGTTCTTCATTTTTGTTTAAAGCCATAGATCAGTTAGTCCTATTGATTAACTACTTTAGTGAGTGTAGTGAATCATTTGGTTGAGAGTTAATGTAGTAAGCTTTTCGTTGTTTTTGTTAAAGAGTGTTAATTATGAATTTTTTTTAGTATTTATGTTGATTCTTGGATAACTTTCAAGATTTTATATATTTTGATAAACTAGAACTAGCAATACAATTTCTTTAGGTTTTGGAATCGCTCTTGAAATCGTTGGAAAGGGTTATAGCACTAAGTATTATTTTTGTTAGTTTTATGTTGAAATATCTAATGTTTCTAATATCTTCAAACTAACAATGGTATAATATTTTGGTTAATTAAACCAACTTATTTTGGTTAGTGTAAGTTACAGAAGGACTAAAATTGGGCAATTGATAAATAGATAAAATGCTTAATAGTGATGAGGGCAAGAGAGTGATTATATATGTACCGAGGCTTGTTTCATCGGAAGATACAAAGGACATACAGATCACCATGAACTGATTTGGTCCATGTCTGACCCGACTATAACCCAAACTTGACCTGCTATATAAATGAAATGTCCCAAAAATCCATGGAAAAATTTTCATTTTTTAAAACATTAATCCATACAACAATTCGTTCCCAAAATCATTCAAGGTGAAAATAATATTTAAACATCAGAGTAAAAGTCATAAACAACTACTACATAACAAAACTTTGGGGGATGTTGTGCAGTCACGTCGGCTCATTCCCTTTCGAACTAGAATTACCTGAAACAATAACCATAAAACTGTAAGCACAAAACTTCATGAGTTCCGCAAAATACCACATACAACATGTATACAAATATAACAACGTGTGCTTGTGTCGGGTCCATATCAACCCCGAGTCTATAATGACTCTATGTAACAACTTGTATCCGTGTCGGGTCCATATCATCCCTCGGGTTTGTACCAACCCCGAGTCCATAATGACTCCATATAACAGTTTGTAGTTGTATCGGGTTCATATCAACCCTCGGATCTGTTTTACCCCACATACATAAGCATATATACATATAAGCATAAGTCACAAAGACAACAATCACATATAATCATATGAGCAAGTGTCACAAAGACAACAATCCTCCTATAAACATAATCCAGTGGGTCGGCATTGGTGCCTTCAACCCACGAGTACAGTGAACAGACTCACCTCAATCTAAAGATAATCGAAACACACACGCGCTGCTGCTACATAGCTCCTCACACTGAACATAACCAAAACCATCCTAATCAATATTTAGGGAAATGAACCATAATCCAAGGTCCAATCATGTTCCATCATGCTAATGGGTAAAAGACTATTTTACCCTTCCTTTACTTGACCCATCTAACCATGCTCCAAATCCAAAATGACCCAAGGCCCAAAAATGACCCAAAAGGCTTTCTAGTGAGCAAGCCATGTGTACCCACCAATTACGCCCCGCACACGCAGCCTCAATAGAAAGGGAATTCGGGGCAATCCCGTTACGTTCTGCGTACCAAGATGATACGCCCAACGTAATTTGCTAATGTCCAATCTCCACTTTTGAGTGCTTAATCCTTTAAGACGACTCGTCTAAAACTCAGATCTAACTCCTAAAAAGGCCTTAACTGATAAAGTTGACAACTTTAAGCTTTTGCATGGCTTAATGGAGCCTAAAACCAAGCTCTAGGTCCATAACTTCATAAATAGGTCAACAACTCATCCATAGGTGAACTACAACCCCCAAGATCTAATTTTTATGACTTAATAGCCTCAAGATGACCAAAAATGATGTTCAAAGGTTCTGGAGTAACTTCTACTCACAAGATCCAATCCATGGGACCAAAACATGAGCTAATTCTATATCTAGTGAAATGAGTGATAAAGATTCAAGCTTTATACCTTCTGAGGTCGAGGAATGACAAATGAGTTTAAGATCCAACAGCTTGAGCTTCACCAAGCTTCAATGGTGGACTTCTTCTTCAAGATGCACCAAAAATACCTATAAACACTCAAGAGGCTCAAAATCTTCACAAATGAGGCTAGGGTTTCGAGATGATGCTTTGGATAGCCAGAGGATGAGTTTGGAGAGAGTTTCCAGAAGTTAAGTTGCTTAAATAAGGCTCAAACCCTAAAAATTAGGGTTTGCACCTTGTGTAATCACACCCAATGTAATTTAGGTACGCTCAGCGTATTGGGTAAAGTCTCGCATTTCATTTAATGAAGTACGTCATGCGTACTTCCCAGGTATGCCCAACGTACTACTAATTTCTCATTCTCATCTAAACTTCAAACAACCATAACTTCTTCGTTCCAACTACGATTATGGAGTTCTTTATACCCACATAAAGTTCTTGAAGAGCTCTACAACCCTATCTTGTTAAATTTGGCTTAAAACAAGTCGAACTCAAAACCATAATCCTTGCAAGTAGTTTGACACCTATCCTTCCCCAGTTCACCCGTGGTTCTCACTCACGATTCAAGGGCTTAGATCTCACAATCAAACCTGTCAACCTTCAATAAGGCCTAAACTTTACTTTCTCAAAGCCCCAAAGTCTTCAGATAATCGATTTACGGCCCACGAGTCCTGAATCACAAAATGATCCAAAACAGGGTGTTATAATAAATATGTTCATCTCAATGTTATTTCTCATAACACATATTTTCACACATACACACACAAGTGATATCTCTCATTTTCTCTCTCTTTGTATCCATATTATGGTTTTTCCTTCTTTAGGGTTTGTTTGTCGTAATCTGTGAGTTTGTTTGTACTAAATCTTAGAATTCATATGTTTGAGTGTTGTAAGTGTGTTTGTAATGAGATATTTCCTCTGTAAAAGTATTAACATTGAAAATTTTAAGTTTATATTTTTTTAAGTTAGTATCATAGCTCAAATTAGATTCTCCAACGTTATTACTGTTGTACAGCGTGGCTGAGATCTTCATCGACTCATAATCTCATTTTTTAGGTCAGAAATAGTTAGGATTGATATTAGGAGAAATATATATATTTTAATAATATATTATATGATTAATATATTAACTAGAAATAGTTTATATTTAATTAAGAATTAATCGAAACTAACTGGAAATTAATTTTGGATTAATTATAATTAATTGAAAGTACACATGTTAAATTATAATTGTTCAAAAGTTGAGCAATGAATGCAGTTCTAGAACCTCGATGCCTGGACAGTTTTGACAAGAAACCATAAAGGTTATTGAAACCTTGACAAGGAACCATAAAGGTTCTTGAAACCTTCTGTAACCGATAAGGAAACATATTTGAATTGGATTAAAATACTATTATTTTAAAATTCATATCATGGTTTCTAGCAACTATAAAGATTGACCATCTCCCTAGCAGAAATCGATCCCTACATACACACCTAGGGAAGTTTGTTTTCCTCTCGTCCCCTCTCCAATATTTCGATCCTAAGGTTTCTAGGGTTTTGAGTGTGAACTGTGAACCATTAGAGGCATCAAAGGGTAAAAAAAAATCAATTTTAGCGAGAAACCGGTTTTCCATCCGGGGGTAAATCCGATAGTCCAAAATGCTAAACCAGTTTGAATTCGGTCACTGGATTAAATCCGATCCAGTTCGGTTTTGACCAAATCCTGTTTTCGGATTGGATCGGATCGAAAAGGTGAATCCTGTTTCGCTGTGCATAAGTCCTTGGTACACATACACCATTTCTGAATGGCACCCGAGTGTAGGATACGTATGCTCGTTTGATTATTTCGCTCAACAGTCTAATCAGCTTCATCTTTCATTGTTGGTCCGTTAAGGTTCCTTTTCTTCCCTTGTATACTGTTTCTTCATCTATTGGTTGTTCTCTATAAAATTAGGGTTCTATGAGTTGAATTGTGATGAACCTGATGACGGGTTTTACTTAAGTTCTACATTTCTGTTATTTTAGGCAGGAGCGCTTTACTTCTTTGAGAAAATATTCAATCTGATTTAGACTGCGCCGTCCGTCGTCTGCCCTGCTGATCGGCACCTCCGCCTCGTCAGCTTACTGTTCCCTCACTCCAGGTAAATCACTGCGGCCGATTCAGTTTGCAAGTTTTTTTTTTTATTCTTTTGCCAAATCCTCCGGCTACTTCCGGATCCCATTTGAGGCAAGATCTCATCTCCCTCTCTGTTTTTATATATGCTTCCAATCAGTTGAATTTTTTAATGCTTTGCTATATGGAGCTTGGAGGATTTAATTCAAAGGATATATGTACTCTAAGTCCAAACACGATTAAATTATTAGGTTTCTGCGGTAGATTAGGTTCCTCTCCACACACCCTCTATAAGATCTTCACATAGGTATCTGGAAATTTTAATCTGTTTGATGGATTACTGGATTAAGAGGACGTTCTGAATCGGTCTGATTAGGAGCCTTTGGTTCCCCATTTTTTCGCACCTCTTAATGGAGTGGGGATCATCTGGTCAGATACGAGGGTAAGTCTGAACAACTCTGAATGTAATTTTGGTAACAATGCCCTTTTACCCAAATACCCTTCCATCGCATTCTCTCATCACAACCATTACAAGCTCCCGTTTTTTTCTTCTTCTTACGCTTCTCCAGTCCACTACCGTCGCTGCCTTCAACCTCGACGCCTCCCACCGCCGTCCTCCTCCTTGCCTCCGTCGATCTCCTCCCATCAGCGACCACAAGCGCCGGCGATTTTCTTCCTTGAACCTCGACGCCTCCACCATCGTCTTCCGTTGAACACCACCACGATAGATAGCTTTCATTTACAGGATCTGCTCTTGTTTCCTTCTCAAAGAACAACCGTTATACCAAATCCCACTTTACTTCTTCCAAGAAATTAGGGTTTATTTTCCACGTTATAAAGGTACTTAATTTATCCTTTTTGCTTCAATCCCCATCTGGGTTCTTGTTCTTTTCGTCATATTTGATCTAGTTATTTATTTATTTATTTATTTATTTCATATGCTGGTAATATTAGGAATAAAACGGCAATGATGAACAACCAAGGGTTTAGGTGTTGTTAGACGTATCAGTTCGTTTGGTAGAAAAAGAATTTGATTTTGATTCAATTTTTTCTGGCTCTATATATGAGCATAAAATATGTGATTTCAGAAGTCTATGTAGCTTTCTTTTGTATGAAGACTGATTGAGTATTTTGTTGATGATTGAGTACTTTGTTTGTCTGATAAATTTTGTTTTGTTTTGTTTTTTTTAATATTTCAATCACACTGTGTGTATGTTGATTTTCTGAAAGTTTGATGTTGTATCTATAGTGGTTTCATCATTTTTGCTATTATGCTACTGAGAACATAATTCAAGTTGCTAAACTTTTTTTGTTCATCTGCTGTGGTAATTAAAGTGGCTAAACATCCTATATGAACTTATCAATTTTGATGGTAGGTTATTAGAAAATAAAAATTGATTGAAATTTATATATTTCAAGTATAAATAGTTTCAGAAAAAAATGAAAAGGAAGTTAGTTAAGTTTATAGAAGTAACGGTCAAAATAGGTTAGAAGGGTAAAATTGTCATTTTTAATAATACAACATAGTTATTCAGATGTCTAAACAATCAACATGTTTTCATTCAGAGACAGATTAACTCAGAGCCTCTATATGGTTTTAGTGTTCTTGTTGGTTGTTGGTACTTGTTTCTTTATGATAATATGAAATTAAATTTATGAAATGTTTTATTTTGTGCAGTTTTCAAAATATTTGTTTGGAAGACACAAAATGCACCCTCCTTTGACGTTACATAGGCACCCAATGTGTGCTGAAGTAAGTTTTCTATTCTTCTATGTTAAACAATCATATAACCATAACAATGCTTTTACACATGAGATCTGAATAAATAATCATTTTATCTTTATATTCCAAACGACAAAGTTCACAATATTCAATATAATAATGTCTCATATTGTTCATACATTTATTGATTATGCTCTTGTGTTTTGTGTAGATAATTGAACAGTTTCAGAAGTGCCACCTGGACCACCCTTATGCAAAATTCTTTGGTGAGTGCACAGATCTCAAGATAAAGCTCGACAAGTGTTTCAGACAGGAAGTAAGCTTTCTTTAATAACTGGGTGTTATCTTATTTTTTTCTTTTTCCCTTTTTTAATACTTGAAATCAAGAATCTTATAAACATGGGAAAATCAGTTAAACAGACTCTTAACATTTTAAAATGAGGACATGTCGTAATCTGGTGTTAGCTGTGTATTTGTTTCTCATTTCTTTTGTTTTCATGGTGATAGAAAGCTGTGAAGAGGAAGGCAAATTTTGAAGAGAGTAAGAAACTGAAAGAGAGACTACAAGCTTATAGGAAAGAAGCTTCTGGAACTGAGAACATCATGTAATAAAATAAAACCCTAGATAACTTTTTCAAAAGTGGAGCATGGAATGATACAAATACAATTCATTAAATAACAAAATTGATTTTCATATATTTTTGAGATGTTGCAAATCATATATAACTAGAATTTGTAGCTTGTTTCTATGGATTTTGTGAGAATGTAATAACAGCATAAGGTATATGTTTCTTTTCTAAATAAAATAAATAAACCAACCGTTTTAAGGAGACTAAGGTGCTGATTGTTTTTTCGAAGCCAAAACGTCTGTAGTCTGCAGATCATATCTGCAATCCTCTGCAACAGAACAGGTGAATCAAACATCTGCAATCTGTAATAAGAAGTATGTTATTTTAACGATAAACTTAAAATTTAAATAAACTGATTTTACAAACTTAAAATAGTTTTTCAACATTAAAATTTAAATAAACTGATTTTACAAACTTAAAATAGTTTTTCAACACCGAAAGATTGCTTTGTTTACATAAAATAAAATCAATATGAGGGACCAATATTTCTATATCACTATACATAAAAATAATACCAAACCAGCCTCTAAACAAATTAAAATAATTGTAGAATATATATAAATTTTAAAATTATAATTTAGACAATCGCTTTTTCATTATTATATTTTAATTTTAATATCTATACAAATGTTGTTTTAGTCAATTTTATACATTTCAAAAGTTTTCAACTATCTTTAAAAACAATCATATACAAACAACTAATTTTGATGAACACATTTGTAGAAAGATATGTTTTGATTTTTATATTTTTCATCATGATTTTCTATTCAATTAAAATAAACAGTATAAAATTAAAAATAATTTTTTTTATTTTAAATAGATTAATAAAAACATAAATAAAAATATAACATCTCTATATTACTTGGTAAATTTTCCACATATTGTTATAATAATTTAAAAAACAAATTACATTGTTATGACTATAATTACGATGATGCATATTTATGATGTTTTTATATTAAATAAGATTATTAAATCAACGACGGTTATAAAATATTACTTTAAATGAACTTATTCATATAAAATTAAAAATAAAAAAAGATATGATGATGCATATTTATGATGTTTTTATATTAAATAAGATTATTAAATCAACGACGGTTATAAAATATTACTTTAAATGAACTTATTCACATAAAATTAAAAAGGAAAAAAAGACATGTTTGGTTCTTTGAAATAAGTGTATCGTATTAAATTTGTATAGATTAGAGAATTGAAAATATAAAAAAATTTGGAGGGAACATAATAAGTTGTGAAGACTAGACACGAGTCAATGTCTGGGCCAAGAAGGCCTGTGTAGACGTTTTTAGGTCTGCGCACTTCAAAAACAAACACTCTGCGATGACATATGTCTGCGCGGCGCAGACAAAAATGATCACACAGATTTGCAGACAAAAAACAAATAACCCCTAAACGACCATTTTATTCTTATTGTAAAAAAAAAAAAGAAATAGCCCCTAAGCAGTGATGCATATGCTAAAATGATCTTTTGACATGTTGAAATGTTTTTTTTATAAATTAAATATTTTCTTTCTTAGCAAATCCTATTCTAGCATCATGGGAAGAACTCAAAGAACAAAAGGCTATACTTAAAGCACACACAATTAACATAAACACCATTAGTTTAAACATATTAAAAAAACCAGTCAAACCCTTATAAACACCCATGTCCCAAAACCTCTGGTCCTTTATGAGGCCTTCAATAGTAAACCACTAATAGACTTACTTATAAACTTCATATACGAATTCGACTTACTAAAATACCCGAATCACAAAGTTTCAAAAGAATCCTTAAAAACATTATTTTCCATCAAAAGCAAGATGAAGCACATCGGTCAACGGTTTCGCCTGTTCTTCAGTTTGACTTGAGTTGTAAATCTTTGACTCCAATGCAACTCGGGTTTGACTCCAGTTTTTAAGCACCGACAACGAGACGGGCCCCACCTTATCGCCACGTGGGCTCATAACATACCATTGAGAGCTTTTAATGTCTTCAAGATCCTCCTTGCTTATATCAACGGTTGACTTTTCATCACTTGAGTCAGACAATTGAGTAGGGTTTTTGACAATAGATGGCTTTTTTGGCTTGTTTTCGAAAAACTTTTGGAGTTTTATTGCCATTGCGTATTTTTCAGATGCTGGCATTTCTTGTTTACTATCTTCTGCAAAATTTAAATTGTAAATCAATGTTTTGAAAACAAAAAAGAAAAGATTATTCTTACAACAAAACTTGACTTGGCATCATGTCAGATGTAAAATCAGGTAGGCCCACAAGGAGCCTGATTCATATATAACTTACCGGATTAAGTCATGTCCTTATTTAAGTTCATCAAGTAAAAAATAATTTTTTTATATAAAAAGCAATGTTTTGGGAACATAGGAAATGATGAGGGCAGAAAAAGGGTAGATTACATTTTTGGTCCCTAAGTATAGCAGCTTTTTGCAATTTTGGTCCCAAAAAGTTTATTTGAGATTTTCATAACATTTTTTGCCATGTTCCAGGTTAATATGACTATTTGGGACAAAAATTGAAAAAATAAGCTACACTCATAGACCAAAAGTAGTCATTTTTGCATTAACATCAAATAAGGACCAAAATTGAAAAAACAACTATAGTGAAGGGACCAAAAATGTAAATTACTTGAGAAGAAAATATTTACCATACCTGAAGTAATGCCAATGTCTTTAAATTTTCCAGATGATGAATGTATTAGAATAGATTTTGGTGAGTCTTTGTTATCTTTCTTATCATCTTCAAGAGGTTCAGCTTCTTCAATATCTGGAATCACAGTGGGGATCTTTTCAAGTAATTTTGTCTGATTTTCTGGAGTTTGTAGGAATTGCCTTCTTTCCAAATACTCATGTAGCGTAAAATACTCACATAGGTTAAGGACCAAATAGTGTAGAATAGTCACATAGGGTTAAATACAAGAAATAACAATCTACTTTCATTGATATGTTTATTATAATTTATAACCTCACACTTTCATTTTCAATTATAGCATTGTCATCAAAATGCAAATATTTTTTAGAGTATAATTTCATAACAAGATTAAAAAAATGAAAGTAAAGAGGTTATAATATAGATATAAATGGAACCATGTTGCTATTTCTCGCATTTAGCCCTTAAATATATCATTCAAATGGGAACATATACACAAATTAATTATTGACTACTAAAAAAGGATATTCTTTTCTCCATCCTTTTTCATTTGCTTGATCAATACGGTGTTTCAATAAAGCCAGCTCTCGGGGAATCCACTATGATAATAGCAAGCATCATTAGATGTTGAAATTATGCATTAATAAACTAAAAACAATAAAGAGAATCCATGTTTGAAATCTGTGTATTGCCTAATTAAGCACCATTTATTAAACAAGAAATAATATATGGTGCATTATATTATCAAGTAATTATGTAGCGAATTGTAAAATAAAAATGCGTGTTTCAAGACTTACATGTGTTACAATGTCCTTGTGAAGACTCCTAGCCTTCTCTTCAACTTCAACCTGTCATACAAGTAAATCTGGTTAAATTTTTTATCTCCTAAAAGTGGGTCTCAATAATATTTAGCATGTATGTGTTATGAATCATACTTGATAGGTCTTTAAGTTAATAGATAATAAGTATTTTATATTCTAGGAAGTTATCTTGTTTCCGTTTTTAATTTTGGCAATTAGGATCTTTTATTATTTGAGTCGATTTTTAGAAGTCTTTGTTTCCTGATTTGAGTCTTTTGTTTATCCCTATTTAAAGGGTAGTCATTCATGAAATAAGATAGGCTGGAATTTGAAAACAATCAATAGAGTAATATTAGGTTAATAGCTTAGTTTACTCTCCTGCAAACAAACAGGAGGCTAGGTTACAGGGGAGTTCACGGCTTTTTCAAGCACTAGCACTGGTCCTGTCACGAGGTCTAGATCCCGGGTCATAACAGTATGAAAGAATTTAATTATATATCTCCTTACTTCTTTTAGCAATTTTATTGGCAATAGTAAATTAGAAGCGCATTTACTACCCTCTCGTACTTCATATACTTATTTATTATTACATTTAAAAGATTTTTTTTTCAATCATGAGTAAATGACCTACCAAAGATTAATAATAGGTGATGAAATAAATAAGATAAGCAATAAAACAACACTCGATTGAGTTAATGTGTAAGCTTACCACTTCAAGCTTTTTCAGTAAGCCGGATTTCACTTTGTTTTTCAAATCTTGACATTCCTCCTGAAATTAGTAAAGTCCAAAACCGTTGAATTTAAATTTATATTTGTTAGTTGATTATTAATGGCTTTCAGTGATAACATATTAAAATGATCATGTACATAGATAGATAAATTATCTACTCCCTTACCTCAGTGAACTCATCATCTGACAGCAAATTAATGCATATATCCGTTTCTAAAGATTGCAGCATAAAAGTCTGCTCACTTTCACCAACCAAACATTTTTTTACGCCTGCATATACATTAAAGCAAACATAAATCTTGTAAATAAATACGCAAGTAAAAATCAATAAATAAACTCACAACACAATATGATGCATGTGTCATCAGACGCAATGTGCATGTTATATACGTTACATATCAGGCACCGATTGCATACAACTATACAAGTATGGATGCACCAGGTGCCTTAATACATACACATATGTATGCACCAGGTGCCTGATCTACCGGTTGATATATCTATCAACCGGTAGATATCAGGTGTGATAAGTATTTATCACACCTGATTACATACTACAAGTATGCGTTAGGCGCCTGATTGGCACACATACAAGTATGCGTAGGGCGCCTGATTGCATACAAGTATGCCATAAGCGCATGATACATACAAATCTATGCCTGGCGCATACGTATATGTACAGATATCATGTATTTAAAAGGAAAAACTTACCAGTTACTTGCATAAGGCGATAAGCATTCCTTAGAAAGAAACCATTTGCATCTTCTTTAACTCTCACAAAACTTCCTATTACCTTACTTTCAAAGCTCTCAGGTTCTTTTTCAAGTTTCTGCACTAAACTTCTTCTCAAATACACAAGCCTTATGTTTTCAGGAACAATCAATGCAAAACGAAAACACGTAATATCAACCACTGGCTCTTCCTTCTCTATTAACTTATCTCCATTG